ATCGTCATCATCACCACCACCACCATAATCATCATCATCAGCATGATCATCAGCAGCATCATCATCATCATCATCATCATCAGCACCATCAGCATCAACACAGTCACATTGTCTTCATCATCCTTGCCACCGTCATCATCATCTTCAGCAACATCGTCATTCCCGCCACTATCACTATCACCGCCATCATCATCAACATCGCAATCACGGAACCGGCCCTGTTCCGACCAGGCCCTGCACGCACAAGCCACAGGCTCGCGACCGGAAACAACCGCAGCAACATAGTCTGTCTTGCTCTGCAGCCGTCTGTGGCTTGCGGCTCGCACCATCGGTTCCTATGCCTACCTTGGCCCGACACCTACCCGCATTTGTCAAGAATCTGTCCGTCAGGCCCTCTGATGATTGTGGGCTGCTCGTAAATCGCGGGCGTCCCGTTCGCCTTCAGCACTGGTACCTCAAGCGTCTTCTCCACGACCACTGGCACATCCACCTCTTTCTGCACCTTGATGACCATCGGCACCTGCACCTGCTTTTGCACCGGCACCTCCACGATCTTGTCAACAAACTCGACTTGCGGCACGTCCACAAATTTCTGCACCGTGGTAACCATCGGCACTTGACGATGCTTTTGCACCGGCACCTCCACGATGTGGTCAACAATCTCGATCTGCGGCACCTCCACCTCTTTCTGCACCTTGGTGATCATCGGCACCTGCACCCGCTTTTCTACTGGTACCTGGATGATCTCATCGACGAAGTCCACATTTTGAAGCTTCTTACGTTTCGCTACGTTCCTGATGACGTTGTAAAGCTTTGGCGCGCCCTGCATCATGGTCGAGGTGGAACCCTCTAGCTGGATTGTCTTCTCAACGACGCTGATGTTGGGTGGATCCTGCACCGTATCCACCGCAATCTGTGTGATCCTCTCACGAGTCTCCAAGATTCTTGGCACGTGGACGATCTCCTCCTGCACCGTTTGGACCGGCACCTCTACGATCTGCTCCACATGTTGATGGATTATCCTCTCCTCCGTCATTACTATCGGCACGTGGACGACTTCCTCGACGACAATCTCCTCATGCTCCTGGGGGACATTCACATCTACGATCTGCTCCACATGTTGCTCCACGATATGCTCCACCAGGATGATTTTCGGCACGTGGACGATTTCCTCCTCCTCGATGGGGACCGGCACCTCTACGACCTCCTCCACATACACAGGAATGAGCCGCCTCCGCCTGGCACGCGGCTCCTGCGCAGCAGGGGGGCTGGTCCGCCGCTCCGGCTGCGGCTGTGGGGGGGCGCCCGGATGGGGAGGCGGCCCTGGCTGCTGCTGAGGCTGCCGCAGCTGCCGCCACGAACAGTAGCAGGCGCCGATGACGCCGATGATTCCGGTCACGGTCGCAACTACTCCCCATTCAAGCTCCGTCAGAAGGGAAACCCGCTCGTCTTCGCAGGCCGATTTGTCGGCCAGGGGCTCCTTGCCATCGGGGCACTGCTCGCACCTGCCGTTGGCGGAGTCGAACCACTGGTGAGCTGCGCAAGCGTCGGGGCCCATGCCGGTCGTTGCCATGCTGCTCGCTGTGGTTGACATGGTCGTCGTGGTCGTGTTGGCTGGCTGCAAAGCTGCTTCCAGGCAACGCATGACGATAACATTCGAAATCATTGCTCGCATCTTGAAAGGGGGCATCCTGCGAAGCCGACTTGCGGGAGCCAAGGGCGTGCAGGACACCCTCCTTGAGACAACGTGGCTGCGGTAGCTCTGGAATTCCACCAGAACATCCACAAAAATCGGTACAGTAGATTCGTCATTGCGGTTGCTCACTTTAACTTGTTTTTGTGATTTGTGAATCCGGGTATTTTTCGTGGAAAAAACACGTTGTATTCGTGGTTGCGCTGTTTGAGCCAAGTTTTGCATTTACACCAAACAAGCAAGCACGATTCATTATTAGCTTGCCCATCATGTCAATAACCTACATGTCAAATTTTGATTGAAATCAACTAAATCAAACCCACTGGAATTCAACGAGAAAACCCACTGAAATCACTAGAACTCAAAAACAACAAATCACTGACATTACTAGAATTCCAGCAGAAATCCATTGGAAAGGAGGGAGGAATCCAGGATTCTAGCCAAATGTTGACATGTAGGTTTGGGGCATGATGGTTGAGCCAATGAACGAATGCTAGCAATTGCTTGGTCGAATTCTAGGACAGGCTTGATCCAACCTCCAAAACTCTAGTCCTCTAGTCAGAGTCAGCCGAACTGGTGAGATTCACAAAGCAACCGGAGCAAACGCCCAGCTGGGAAAACTTCACATCCGGGAACACCATGACCACGCATCTGCAGCCCGTCGGGCTCATAGGTTACCGTTCGAATCACATTTCCCGATTTGGCAACATATCTGAAACTCTGATTGAACCAACAATTTTGTCGAACTAGCAGTCTGCCAACGACTCGCTACAAGCACAGCAAACTTGACGAGTGGGAAAAAAAAAACATGCAATTGCAGCCCTAGCCCTAAGAGCAGCATTGCTCTGCGAGGCATCGCAAATCGCCGAATATCGTACTCGCCCGCGCCCGAAGAATGCTTTGAAGATGGGCTCCCACCACCTTACGGGTATCTGGAAACATGCCCTGTTCCGACCGGCCGTGTTCCGACCGGCCCTGTTCCGACTGGCCCTGTTTCGACAGGCCCTGTTCCGCCGGCCCTGTTCCGCCGGCCCTGTTCCGTCCGGCCCTGTTCCGCTGTCACGATGTCCCATGTGGCAGCGCTCTCTAGGCGGGTCCAAACCGGGCGGGTCGGAACCAGGCGGGGCGGAACCCGGCGGGTCGGAACCGGGCGGCAGGCGGCGGGCGGCGGGCGGCGGGCGGCCGGGCGGCCGGGCGGCCGGGCGGCGGGCCG